AGAGTTACATTGATCCATTACAAGGCTGAACTTTATTCTGTTTTTATCTTTCAACTGTCAGAGAAGATTAAATGTTATGCTAGAAGACTGAGGAATAACATGCCTGTTGAGCTTTTCAATCATGTATTCATTTTTTCACTTCACACTTTCATACATATATTATGCAATCATCTATTGCAAATATCGAACTGTTGACTACCTATAGTTGAAGCCATGAGCCATGAACAACAACCTAAAGACATGTCAAGCAAAATATGAACTGAGTTCTTCGTAAATGCTGAGATCACACACACACACACACACATGCACACACGCAACCTCTAACTGAAGAATATCAATCAATCAGGGCCGGAGCACGTCTCATCACTTGGCTCCTCCAGCTCAGCCTCCTCCTCTCTCTTCGCAACCAATCAAGTGATTGTTCTTCAACCTCCTAAACCGTTCCCGAGTCACCCTGCAGACTCGGAAGGAAATGTCAAACAAATTAGCGATCGGCGAGCATTACTTGCGAAACAGACACACTCTCAGCCCCGGCATCACTGCCTTATGGACAAAACAACTGTGCGAGACAAAAACAACAACACAACTTCACCACCGGCCATCAACAAAGTTCCTGAGAATCTGTTGATGTCAAAGGTGCTTCTGATTGAAATTCCAAACTGTGCCTCTGATGCTATTGGCAGAAGCCTCCTCCATACCAGCCTTTGTATGCAACCTGGTGTCTCTTTATTTCTGAGTTTATTCCCATTTGGGGATTGTTTGCAGTGCCCTCTGCATATTATTTATTATCCTGCTGTTTTCCTGCATCCTTTGCTATGCAGCAGCAGCAGGGAGCGGCCCCAAATGTAGAGCCACACCGCCATGTCAAAGCGCGTTGATGTCTTTATCTGCAACATGGCATGAGTGCTCCTGACAACAAATAATATTGCAGCCATGTGCAACATATCAAAAAGGTTATCTTTCCAAAGTTAGAAATTATTTTTCTGTTATTTTCATTATTTTTAGCAGTTTTCATTTACATAGGCTCATGATCAAAAGTGGGAATGTTGTGCATTGCTGTTTATTTATTTATAAAAAAAGTATTTCATGAAGTTTTATTTTCACTTGGGTGTCAGAAGGGAACATCCTTGTGGGTTTTTTTGTTGTTGTTTTTTTCTCAAGAGGTATAATTTTCCTGTGCTTGCTATAAGGGCCATGGGAGGAAGGCATGAACTAGTAAACATTGACAGTGGGATACACCCCCACAATCAGCAGGTAAAGCGCATCAACTGTGTTACAGCTCTCTGTATTCTCATCTGAATGTGTGATTGTTACAGTGAAGGTTTTTTAACCATCTCTCCCACTGGAAGACACATGCAGGAGCTTCAGATCAAACAGGAGCTGGTATAAATACAATGAAAATCCCATTATATTACAAGCAGGATTTTATCTATTTATCATTTTCTTTTCGTGCACGATAATAATTCAAGCAGGATGATGTACAGGCAGATGATGGGCATGTGTGCTCCTGCTCAAGTGCTGATGTCTAATTTAATACAAGTAGAAACAGTCACATGAATTCTATTAAAATGAAGTTAACATAACAAGGGTCAGCTTGGTCTGCATTCAAAACATTTACTGGCATTTAAAAATGTGATTTTATTTAATCTAATTTAGTCTATGAAATGCAAGAGAAACTGTTCCTGTTTGTGAGGAACCAGTGAGCTATCTATTCAATTTTGCACAATTTAATTTGGGTTCCTTGCCATCAATGCCATTTCATCTACTGCTGATTTCCTTCTTTATAAGAAATTAAATTCACTCACCACAGAGAGTATGACACTAATGTTAATACAAATACTAAGGGCAAACTTCTGCATTTAAATCCAACATAACTATATCTAATCACCTGTTCCCAAATGCATACAACTGGATATTTATCCTCCCTGATTCTGCTGAATAAAGAAATGCAGCGCATTGTATTTTAATTAATTCTAGCCAGCAGGGACACATTTTCTTACTTGTTTACGATTGTGCCATAATTCTCAAAGGCCCTGTTCGAACCCTGCAGTATGTCATGTTTAATCAGCAGTTTATGCCATGAAAAAGATGTAGGTTGGTGCTTACCTAAGACAAATGGTGCCCCTCCTACTTCCTTAAATTACACCCCCCTCCAAGTTTGGCACACAACACTGCCATTCTGTGCTATTCCATGTTTTCCTCCGCAGTAAACAAAATTATCCTAAGGCACTTGTTCCCTGCCATAAAGTGTCTGGAAATCTGTCCAATATCATGTTTCACACAAACGGCAATTTCTTGACAGGACTTGCCGACAATGACAGCGATGCTGCATAAAGATCAAAGCCGTGATCAGGATTTCAGTTCACAGTAACACTGTTTATGCTCCGACACAGCAGGAAACTGTTCACGTTGTGTGTTTTGCTGAGAGATGTGTATTAGTTTTCTATCACAGGAACACAACACTGGTGCTTTACTATGACAACAGATGCATCTCCAGCATTTTAAACACAAAAATCTGTTTAACTGTAAAAAAAATAAAAAAACTCCACAGTAGTAATTCAAGCTAATTTGCTCCCACACCTGTAATGCTATGAAAAGCTGGAGACACATTAAGTATAATTTAGGGAGTTGAAAAACGAAATACTTCCTGCTCTGCTTTCCATAGCACATTAGTGTTGGCCATTGTTGAACATGAACTCTCAGTGTAACAGGAAAACAAATGCTTGAATTCTTCAGTTGTATGAGGTTCAGCTACAAATGAACTGGAGATGCATAAAAATATCAGCTGGATGGAAGATTAATGGAACCAAATGATAAGTCATCGTTCTGTAATTTTTACCTCCAAGACGGAAGTTGATGTTTTCTTCTGCATTTGTTTGTTACTTAGCAAGATTACATAATATCCACTCAACCAACTCCCATGAAATTTTGTGGAGGGTTACGGCATGACCCAAGCAACGATCAATTTCTTAAATATTGCGACAGGAAGAGTGTCTTTCAACATTTTCATTTATTTCTCAGAGAATAATTCATGGATCTTGATGAAAAAACGGGCAAACTTTGTGCAATTTGGTGCAGGTCCCCAAACGTTTTTTGGAATAGATCTGGATAAATTGATTTTTTTAACCAAAGCACAGGATCCTCATCACTATTTT